AATAATAATTGACGAAGCTGGTATCATATCTTTACTCGAAAAGTTGAAAACTTCGTCTGCATCCGATCATAATGGCTTCAATAACAAAATACTGAAAAATATTTCCTCAGGTATCTATCGCTTTTTGGCAGCAATCTTTTCTCTATCGTTATCATCAGGCACCATTCCTCACGACTGGCGAATAGCAAAAGTAGTGCCGCTATTTAAATCTGGTGATCGCTCATCCCCGCTTAATTACAGACCCATATCTTTAACTAGTACCATATGTAAACTTTTGGAACACATTATACACTCCCAGGTAATCTCCTATTTAGAGGAACACAATATCATCTTTAAATACCAGCATGGTTTTCGAAGGGCTATTCATGCGAAACTCAACTCGCGGGATTTACCCATGACTTGCACTCATCATTGGACGCCAGCATTCAAACTGACGCTATATTCCTTGATTTTTCAAAAGCATTTGATCGTGTCCCTCACCATCGGCTCTTACTAAAACTTAGGCAGCTTAATATTCACCCACTTGTTCTCGCCTGGCTACAAGCCTTTCTTTCCAGTAGAAAACAATTCACGTCTGTCAATAACTTTAACTCTCCTTTTGTTGAAGTCTCATCTGGAGTTCCCCAAGGAAGTGTGATTGGTCCCTTGCTTTTCCTTATTTATATTAACGACTTACCCTCCTCAGTCATTTCTAAAGTTAGGCTTTTCGCTGACGATTGTGTCATTTACCATACCATTTCATCTGAAACTGATCGACAATCTCTACAATCTGATCTTGTCTCTTTAACTTCGTGGTGCACAGCATGGCAAATGACACTAAATCCTTCAAAGACTAAGCTAATGTGTTTTACTAAAAAAGCGTCCCGTATTCCAACGTCTTACTTACTAAATAATACTTCAGTGGAGCTTACGACTTCTTATAAATACCTTCGGGTTAACATTCAGTCTGACCTGTCATGGCATCACCACATTAACGTCACCCTTGCTTCAGCAAATCGCTCACTCGGGTTCCTTAAACGTAATTTGAAACACACCCCCTCGCACTTGCGTAAACTGGCTTATATCACCCTAATCCGTCCTATGCCTCAGCCATTTGGGATCCCGATCAAGACTACATTATTGAAAACATCGAAGCCCTGCAGAACCGTGCTGTACGTTTTATTTTTTCTGATTATTCACGTCACACCAGCGTCACTTCATTGAAACTTCGTGCCGAACTGGAACTCTTATCACGTCGCCGTAAAATTGCTCGCTTATCACAACTTCATAAGCTCTACCATCACACATCACTTCACGAGGACTTCTTTAGGCCACCCCCTGCCATCTTTCCGCGCCGCGATCATCCCTTTAAAATCGAACGCTTCCGTTGTCGCACTTTTCATTATGCTAGATCCTTCATACCGCGCACAATAACCGAGTGAAATGACTTACCTTCAAACATTGCAACCGTCACCGATATCACTGAATTTCAGAACCTACTAAACATGAGTGCAAGCGTGTGAACCTTTTGCGGTATTCCCCCCTCTTTTTTCTTTTTTCTGCAAACCGTGTTTTTTGTAGAAACTGCGTATGTTCATGGTTCGTGTTATTTATTGCTGTGTTTGCCTAATTCAGTAATTCACACGTGTTTTTGGTGATGTTGCCATTCCTTTATGCTTAATGGCGCGTGTGTTTGTAGTAAGCTAGATTGCGTTTTATTGTACTCTTGTGACTCTATTTCCTTCTTTGTGTAGTTCAATTTTAAAATATTTTTTTAGTTTTATTATTGTTTGACTCATATTATTTCGTCTGATTATTTAAGATTATGCGGTAAGAATATTGACCTTATATTTATTCTAATGTATTTAGTAGCTGTATGGTGTTTAGTTTGCGTGTTTTCTGGTTCTATTAATCATTTCATGTACCTGTATGTGTTATAGCCCCCCCCCCTATGTAATACCCTCCTGTGAGAGGGCCCTTAGGGGTATTCTGAATAAAAAAATAAATAAAATAAATATACCTAAGAAGATTAGTTATTCCATCTTCCACATCTAGTGTGTCCAGTATTTCTCACAAGTCGTCTTGAATCACACTATTGTAAGCTCCTTTGATATCTAGAAATGCCAGCCGCAGGGGCCTGTGTTCTTTTTCGGCTATTTCAATACAATGCATATGTGAAAACAGTTTATCCTCCAACCTCCTCTGTTTACGGCACACAGTTTGTAATTCTCCCAGCACCCCGTCATTCTCCACCCATGTCTGTAGTTTTTCCTTTACTATCTGCATCACCAGCCTGTAAACTACTGCTGTCCCTGTTGTAGGGCGGTAGTTGTTTATATCAGCTTTGTCCCCATTTTCTTTATAGACCATGCTCATACTGCTTAGTTTCCACCCATTGGTGGCTTCACCATCCATTATTGCTTTGCTCGCTGCCTCTCTTAGTGTTTGCTTAAAGTTTGGTCCTAGTTTCTTCATTAGAATAATTGGGATGCTGTCAGGGCCTGTTAATGTGCTGTTAGGAACCCTTTTTCTGCCCTTTCCGACTCTCGTCCCAGAGGAGCCACTGCGCTAATTGGTCCATCCTCATCTAGTACGGTGCATGCTGCCCTTTCTTGGTGTTTAAATTTTTCTGTCGTCATTCTTGTTATATATTCCATTGCCTCATCCCTTTCTAGTCTAACCTCTTGAACTCTTGTTATAAACCTCTGTTGAATGCCTGTCTTAAAGTGGAAGGGGCACCTAGCCGCAGTTGACTAGTGACTGAGGTACTCAGCTGCTGACCTGCAGGTCACGGAAGCGAATCTCGGCTGTGGCACCTGCATTTTCGATAGAGATGAAAATGCTGTAGGCCCGTGTGCTCAGATTTGGGTGCACTTTAAAGAAACCCAAGTGGGCGAAATTTCCTGAGCCCTCAACTACCACGTCTCTCATAATCACATGGTAGTTTTGTGAAGTTAAACCCCACATATTATTATCGAAGTGGAAAGGGCGATGACGACCCAAGTAGCTCAGTGGTAGAGCATCGAACGCGTTATTCGATGGTCGAGGTTCGGATCCTACCGAGGCAAGTTATTCTTTTCTCCACTTTTCTTCCTTCACACTCACAATAAATCACTTCTAATAACATCTCCTATACTTTCCCTGGCATTAATGTCTGTTAGTTCCCATTATTATTGTAGCTAACAAAAAAATGTGCTTTTAAAGAGAAAATTTCTAGGAATAACTTCTAGAGGCATAAGCACCAAAGGACATTTTTCTTTTACTGATGAGAACTTTGAATTGAGCACATCTACTTTCCCAAATATTCAGTAAATGTCTCAAAAAAATGAAACTGGTACAAGAAAAACTGAAATGGTGCCAAGCAGGACATCAACCGAAATATAAAGTGGAGGGATGCCCTCTTCAAGGCGTTTTAAAGACGGCAAGTCGGTTTGTCGAGAAATTTGTTTCACCATAATATGCTATCAAGAAACAATTTGTGGGCAAGAGTTCTCATGTAACTCACACGTTTGGGCAAAAACTTTGGCTTCCCATGAACATATCAAATGCTAGATGAGGACTGACAACCAAGCGATAAGAAACAGGAGTGCTGGCATTTTTTTTTAGTGTTGTGTCCTGTGGGGTGTAGGGCACGGTGTAAACGGCCAAACCCTTCTGCTACCCACAGTCGCCACTCCTTAGATCTGCCATAACAGGATCTGCCGTAACATAGCTTGTTGGGTTCAGGAAATGCTGAGGACTAATGTGACCAGACCTAATTAACATTACCAGAGTCCTCCGCTACAGAGTCTCTAATAATCATATGGTGGTTTTGGGACGTTAAACCTCACATATCAATCAACAGTTTTGCTTTGCAGTTTACAATTAACGAAGCTGCCACACAGCTCGTTTGTTAGTTCGTGAACAGTGACAAATCCCCGCGGCAGCATTGCTTGACACTCGTTAATGTGTGATTGACCATTTAAATGTGGCCTGGGAACAGATCAGTCGGGAAGTTTGGCATATTGGGGCTGACTTTTTTTACCTTTTTTGTCAATTGATGACAGCTGTAACAGTTCTTCTAATGGCATTTATGACGCGCTAGAGCACTTAATTTTTATTGGTGGCAAACTGCGTGGCTCCATTCTATATGTGCTCGCTTACCACTAAATTAAGATGCTTTCGCAATCGAGATAAGACGAGCAGCAGTTCCACCGCATCGTGCTAAACTCCCTCGTCGTGGGCATTTAGGCTTAGCTTTATGATAGTAATGCCGAATGATGTTGCGTAGCAAGATTAAGAGACTTCTACTTTTAATCTTCACTTCAGAAGATGTCACTGATAGCTTTTGCCACTTGACCGCGGTGTCTACATTACGGGACGCAGAGTGACTCATGAGCGATAAAAAACAGTTTTTTATGGATTTTAGCCAGTTTTTTAAGAAATAAAAGCAACTATCAAAGGCATGCTAAACTTTCAACAGTGGAGGCACACATAGCGATGCAGGGAGTTTCGTTAGGCTAAATATAATGACAAAAAAGGCATCGCAGGAATGAAACGAGGGGCATCGGCAGTATTATGGAAAAGTAGTATTTAAGAAAGAAAAGGAAGACAACAACCCATCTGCCAGCTTGCGGGTTTCTACAGAACTCATTTGAAATACTCTAGTAGTGTTTGTTTTGACCAAAAATTTTTTTGTGCCTGAAATGATTCAATGCCATGTAAACAGGTGGATTAGTGAACTTTGGTGCAGTTGGCGCAAGCTGTACTGAAGTATTTGCAACAAGGCGCAGGAATATGAAATTGTAGCAAAAGGACGCAGTTGGCCCACCACTGACCTAGTCTGTGCTGAAGCAAATGAACCCTCATGCCAAACAATGATGCACGCTGAGACCCTGAGGCGCTTTGCTCCTAAAACCTGCCAAGGTCACTCAAGCATTCACTATGCACTATGTATTGTTCACTAATTATCACCAAAGCAACTTCATTCAGCCCTCATGAAATTCATTTTAAACATAGCAAAAAGAAATGAAGCTCGAGTCTTGACACCAATTGGTACAGTTTATTTCATTGCTGTCTGACGAGACATCTCAGGAAATATTCCATACCGTTTCACTCGACAGCAGACTTCTAAGGTAATTTCAACAGCTGCTTGTATCAGATTTTCTAATTGCTTTTGAAGGCAGATGAATTGAGCAATTTGAACACAAATCCCCAGTACTCTGAAAGAATAAACATGAATGCACTTAAGGTGTAACAATAAATGTACCTTTTGCATGTCCCACTCAAATCCCTAACGATGCTTTGACTGTGGAGAGTGTGCAGGTGATATCTTAGACCTGCTCCTGGACCTGGAACGAGATTTGTGGTGATGCCGTTTTTTTCGCGTCTTTGATCTTGACCTTGACCTAGTGGTACGCGATCTCTTATGTGATCCGTGTGGAGACCTGGATCGTCTTCTTTTTTTGGTTCCAGAGCTCTGGGGATGACGGCGCTGTGGTGGCGGAGACCTGCAACATGAGGAGCTTTGTGCCGAGTTTGTTCACAGACATTCCTGCTTCTTGCGCAGTGAAATGCTGTGACTGTCTAAATGGGTTGAGTGCGAAAACTGGTGGTCATTCATGATGAGTGGAATCATGCGATGACAGATGCACAGATAGTATGAGGCACCAATTACCAGCGCGTCGAGTGTAGCGAAATTGATGCGGCTCATGTAGAGCGCGTAGCCACTTCCCTACCCGTCAACTAGCGAAGCCGATCGGTTCCGCGACGGCGAACGCGGAATACACCGAGCACGGGAAAGAAAGGAGACTCCTTCTTCGCACGGTTCACGAGCGGAGGTTCGGGCTTGGACTCGGACAAATGCCTGAGGCTGCAATAAAGCGTCTCTTCACCGGACTACGGCTCTTCCTTCCCGCTGCCACTGTGCACTCGAGTCATCGAGGGGACCCATTGCGAACCTGAAACATCTTCCCTCTTTAGCTAGTGTAGAAGCTAGTCGAGGAGGAGGAAATTAACTTGCACCATTAAATGCAAAGGTCTTGATGAGCAATCTATAAACTATGATTGAGGCTACACTTGCTCAGCACATTACAGTATATGAAGCACTGGTGTGTAGCATGCATACTACATAAGAAACAGCCATGCCGTCTATTAGTATTCCTGCCCCTGGCACCGACCCTGCTCTGGAAACTTGTAGGCTACAGGCACACATTTAAATGTGTGTGCACTGTAGACCTAATCAATGCAGGTACAAATGAAATTGCAAAACAAAGAGAACACTAGTCCAGGACAATACCTCTCTTCAACATAATTTTATTCAGCCATTAAGTAGAGCACAAGTCCAGACTTGCACCTTCCCCCAAGAGAATTTTATTTAGCCATCAATATAGCACGCTACTAACGAAGCAGAAAGCGTGCAGTTTTAGAATACTGTGGGAATAAGCGTCCATAGCTTTTTGTAGCCACTACAGCGCTACCTTCAGTCTTCTATTTTCACGTTCGATAACGAAGTGATGATACAAAAAAAGAGTTTGCATAGGATCCTGTCTTGCACCAGTACTGAGCGACCTTTCAATTATTGGCAAGCACGAACCAACACCATAACAAAGGACTTTCTGGATTGAGCATGTATCGCGTGTTCGGGTATGTTGACATCTTTTCAATTCTTTCCTGGAATACCAACTCAGATTTGACTTCTCAAGTCACGTCAGCAATTTTTAGCTGGGTTTTGGCTGATTCCACCCTGACAACTGATGTTCTGATACAAGGCGAGCTACGGTTTATTGACACGAGCCTTACATTTCTCGGGAATCAAGTTTGCTGACAGTACGCCCCGCACTCAAAAAAGGCCTCTTTTCCTTCCATTCCACACATTTCAAAAATCGTGAAGAGAGCCATTGGACTCGCCACCTTCCATAAGTCCCTTTTGCAGTCATGTGCACATCAGATTGACCTTAGTTTCACGACTCAGTCAGAAGACTGACTGACGCCAGGTTCGCCTTCCCCTCCCCCCTCGCTCGTAGGTGACTTTGCCGAGACCCTTGTCAAGTCCCTACAGAATCATGCACACCTCCCCAAAAATAAATAAAAAACTGGAAGAAGGCCAATGTGACTATCTAATTGATGACGTTTCACATGGCATCAAGTAAGTAGCTGGGGGGATAGGAATTCCAGTCGTGTTTTCAGCCCCCAACAAGTTAGGCAGGATTTGCAAGTGTGTCAACGAAGACAGACTGAAGAAGACTGCATGCAACACAAAGCACGCATTTGTAAAATGTGCCATGGTTATGAGGTGCCCCTATCTTGTAGTAGAACTTATATCGTCCAAACAGGGAAGTGCCTCAACACACTTCTGAGAGAATACTTATACAATCTGAGCTACAAGCAGGGATGAAACATGGCCTCACATTGTGCAAAGTGTGCACGCTCTCTGAACTTTCTTTGATGCAAGGTGCTTGCTAGCTATCACCAAGAGACCGTGCGGCTTGTTGTTCACACAATTATTAAGAAGACACGTTTGTTAGCACAGCTTCGTTATCCCTGAGCAAAAAATAAATAAGCTTCATAGATGATGTATCTTAAGTTGATGTGTATTAGATGCTTGTATTTTGTTAAGAATGGGTTCACAATAGTTAAAAGCATTGTTTATGTTTCAAAACTTATCATTGTGAGCTCTTGCTGATACCATAAAGGTTTTTTTGTATGTTACTAGAATGAAAAAATTTCCTGACTAATAAAATAACAATCAGACAAATCCAGCATTCACACATGCTCACGAGCGCCGTGTAACTAATTGATGTCTCATCGTAAGTTTCAGATGGAAACGACAAAAAAAAGGGCAGCAGAATGCACTTTCGCTAACAACCTAAGTAAGTCAGGATCATTTAGGAATTCAACTGCAACAGCCTATCAAGGACAGGAAATGCTGAGAAATTCGATATTCCAAATCCACGCTGTTTAGAATACTCAAGAACAAGGGAAGATTGAAGAATCTTGGCAACTTCACCATGGACAGAATGCACAGAAGCATGCACACAGTGCGAACTTCCCAATCAGTGACCTCATTTTGGAGTAGAAGGCCAAAGAGTTTGATTGTCATGTGGGGTTCAAAGGCTTCAGGAAGAAAGATGGTGGGCTGAGCCGTTTTAAAAAGCAGTACTGTCTTGTCTTTTCAGACAATTTCTGAAGAATGTGTGGCAGTAAACAGAGATGTCTGGAGCCACTGGCAACAAGAGAGATTGAAAACAACGGGACCTGTTAAAGATTGACGAAATGGGATTGTTCTGCAAGGCCCTTCCTACTAACACTCCCGACTACAAGAAGAAAACCTGTGCAGAATAATAATAATTGTAGGGGTTTAATGTCCCAAAACCACCATGTGATTAGGAGAGATGCCACAGTGAAGGGCTCTGTAAACTTCAACCCCCTGGGTTTTTTAATGTGCACGTAAATCTACGCACACAGCCTCAAGCATTTTCGCCTCCTTCAAAAATGCAGAAGCCATGGCCAGAATCATCCATACAAAAGGAAAGCGCAACAAATATATTACAATGCTTGCATGAGCGAACATAGACCATAGTTGAAGTTGGTGGTTGTAGGGAAATAAAAGCGCCCGCAATGCTTAAAAGGCATGCGTATACTGCCTGTAACTTACCATATCAACGCACATGCATGGAGCTTTTGAAATTTGTATATTTAATGAATATTGTGGGCTTTGCTTAAATGAAAATTCTCATATACAGAACAAATTTTCTTGCCCCTTTGAGTTTCATCTAAAGGGACAATAAAGGCAGATGACAATTTATTTCAAAGTGAAAGCTCAATGTATGACAACATAAAAAACGAAAACATTATGAACAGAAGTGCCTTACTTACCAAGAAACTAAAGAAGCACCCACATCAAATTTACTCATGTCAATACTTTTGCGTCGAGTAGCTATCGACCCTTTATTGACGATTCATGACCTAAAACACAACTGAAAACGAATAACTGTCACTTTTAATGATTTATATCACTGGTATCTAGCACGGTTGAAATCGACCAAAAAGCCAGCCATTTTTAGCTCTGGCAGCACTTCCTCAAGGTCACCTCCAGGCTGCCCCACCGCTGACCACTTCTCCACAGAAAAGAGAGACTTGAGGCTCAGCTGCTCTGCAGACATATCGTCTGCTAGGCGCACATATTCAGTCATGCCTTGTCACCTGCATTGCCGTCTTCGCCGTACAAACTGTCGACTAGGCTTGAATACGACTGTCTGGAGCTTGGAGTCACACATACCGAACCATTTTTGCTTTGATCGACCCTTTGCAGGACAGCAATTTCGAAACAGATGTTGTTCGAAGAAGCAATGAGGAGGTGCCTAGGGACACATGCTTCAGCCATGCTCACTTGTGTGTCTCCATTACCTATATTGGGGTGTTTCGGTGTGCACAGTACTCAGGTATATGCAGAAGGGCCAATAAAACGTCAGAATACAGAATGTGAACCAGCAGAGAAATAGAATACATTTCCTGCATGCCAGGTTCTTTGCGTCTCCAGATAGCCTCACCTATCTGGACTTCACAGTTGCAGCGGCAGTAACCCAGTATTACACGGACAGAAGGAAGTCTACAGACCGACTTGAAATTCACTATTAAAAATGCTTGCGTGTTTCTTGTTAGCAATAATATGTGGCTATACGCTATTTCACGTCGATACCTTGTGGTCATGTTAGCGGTTAACATATGCGTTATGAAAAGACACCCTCATAGCACTTTTTCTGCACTTCGAAACAGACGACTGCCACTCAAAACGGTTTCCCGATATCCTGACAGGTGAGCACTAGTTGAATCATGCTGTTTCCTTTCGCCATTTTTTATAGATGCGCGACTTGTGTCTTGCAAGTTCATCAAATCATTCAAAGCGGTGCAACGAAGGTAACACATGAAGAGTGCCGACATGCTCTCACTCTTCATGTCTCACCTTCGCAAGCGTATCGCTACTAGCGCTACACTCAGATCGTAGACGTCATCACTAGTAACACATCTTAAGCGCCACGCTTTCACTCTTCATGTCTGACCCTTGTAGGCGAATCGCTACTATACTCGGCGACAACTCTTCTCGGCACTGAAGGGAAAGCTATGGAGGCAGAGCTTCTGCACATGTAGCACTACGCAAAGCAGTCCGTTTAGGCGCACATCTCGTAAAACTGTAGAAAGTGACAGGGACCCACCATCAGCATTTCATGTAGAGGACCGTGCCGCTTAGCGTTTGAAGTGCACGTAAAAAGGCAGGACATTTTTACCCATTCAAAAACGCAAAGTCACTACAGATAAATTAAATGAAAAACAAATATTTTACAGGTGTGAGCTGCGTTCTGTCTCATACAGCTCAACCTAAAAAATAACGGAGGAATTTTTACAATTCATGTTGAAAATATGGGCGCTACTTCGGAACTACATTCACTGGTGGTAGGATGCATGTAAGCTGGCTCCATACCTTTACCTTCAATGCCAAGAAAAGTTGTTG